AGAGAGAGATGGAGGGAGGGAGGGGAGGGAGGGAGAGAGGGAGGGAGGGAGCGAGGGAGGGAGGGAGGAAGGGAGAGAGAGAGAGAGAGAGAGAAGAGAGAGAGAGAGAGAGAGAGAGAGAGAGAGAGAGAAGAGAGAGAGAGAGAGAGAGAGAGAGAGAGAGAGAGAGAGAGAGAGAGAGAGAGAGAGAGAGAGAGAGAAATGTATGTGTGAAAGAGGGGGGGGGGAGGGGGGGGGTGCTTGCAATGCTGCATGCTGAGACGGTATGTTATACAGTCATGTACATGTACTGAGTAGTAAGTCGTTCTCGACGTGTACATGTATGCAGCGGATCCCAACGCGAGGAGAGAGACGGGTGCACTGCACTCCGGGAAATCAAACACTGCCTGCGGGCGGGGAGATGTCTACCACGCTGTTATCCACTATACCGTATACGTATCCTTTTGAAGCCTGTGGTGCCGGATCATCCGCAGACCATTATCATGATTATCTGCCTACTGAAGGTCTGTGACTGAGTTGGCCTATTTTGGCAATGCTTCCTGCCGCGTAAGCCTGGACATGTCTTCTTATCTGTGTCCTTCGGGTCATCAGGATTCAGACTCAGGCAGGCTTTTTACGACTCCGATTTTACAATAATATAAAATTAAGGAGACTACGTCATGTACATGTACGTAGTATAGTACAGTACTGACAACTGAAATCCGACCCCCTGAGCTCACATCACAGAAACCCAACACGTCGTGATGGTAAAACTACGAAACAGAGACCGCTAGAATGTGAACCCACCGCTCAGGGTTCGGATTTTAGTTGCCAGCGGTGTGCACTGACGAAAGGGTGTACAGTAGAAAGACATTCGACGATTCGTGCTCGGAGACAGCAATCTCCGCCATCGCGAGTCACTTGTTCGCACAAAAACAACAAAATGCTAGTCCAAACTGTCAGTCGCTATGCCTATGGTGTGAACAGCGAGCAGTAGGTGTCTGTCACTCAGTGCTATGTCGCTTTCCTCTCGTCGGACCAAATATGGGTGGGGTTCGGGGAAACGAGAAGCCGCTATGGCCGCGTTGATCTGCTGACAGTCTAGTTGCGTTCATATCGTAGATCTACGAGTCATGATTCAGTCATGATTCAGACAGGCAACTCCTGATTTTTGCACTCCTCGCAGTGAGCATGCTGCATGAGGTCGGCCAACACTTCTTATACGACTATGTTACAGTATGTACCAGCAGTGCTTGCACTTGCCTTTTTGACAGCTGAAACACGGATTCGCGGAGACGCGCGAGCTGCAGCGCGCTCAGCATGCATGCATGCATGCTTTACATACAAAATGAGTACCGGTATGTAGCATGCTAACGACAGAGGCGACGTGTGGTCTGTTCCGCGTTCTGAGTGCATTTCTGACGGGGAGGCGACTGGCGTAATCTTGAACATCTCCGAGCTAGCTGACTAGACTGCAAGTGCAGACTAGTCTATGGTAGTCTGTGACTCACTGACTGTGTGGCTGCAGTGTGTGCTTGATGCGGCACATAATCATTGCAGCCAGTACAGCCGTGCTACCCATAACAACTGCCGACGTCGGATTTGTAGATCTCCCTTTCTTCTATCTAATCTTCTTCTACTAGTATTCTGTCTCGGTATTTGCCATCGCGTGTCCGGCGTCCCAGCAGTCGTAAGTACATTCTGGTCCACTAGATCCTTGCTGAGCGTCCATGGAGTCTAAACGTTAGTTATTTGTTTTGTTTCCCTGTACCGCGTCGTGTGCTAGATGTCGTTCCGTGTCGTTCGATCATCCAAATTCCGCCATGTTTTTGGAACGGCGCAGAAGCACGACGTGTGTTACGACGGAATTCGCGTGTCCAAGAACGCGCACGACAGTCCGTTCTGCTCCGCCAACACCAAGTTCATCGCTATCGTCGTCGAGTCCGGCGGTGGCGGCGCATTCCAGGTTATTCCTCTGGAAAAGGTAAGGGCACGTCGTCCCTGTTCCTGCCTAGCCGGCCCTGGCTTCGCTGGTGCAGCAGCACCTGTGAATGTGTGTGCACTGTGCAGTGGCCAACGCCTCAGTTGGGCAGGCTGCCTTCACTGGTGTTTGGTTTGGCCGCCACCTGGCCAGAAGGTGTCGGCTCGTTTGGGAAGTCGCCTGCTTGTGCAATGCATGCAGTGGATCTGCATTCGGTGCATGTAAAAAGGGTCTGAAAAAGCAGAAACCACGCCTGAATGCTGCACTTCACTCGGCAGTAAAGCCTGATGTAGTGATGATAGGCATGTTTGAGCCGGTAATCTCGTGTCGTTGCTTTCCGGACCGAAGCATTTTGCTCGCGCACGACGTGTCGTTGAATGCTGGAACACGACGTGCAAATATTCTAGCCGAGGCTCGGCATGTGAGCGAATAGTCGCATTCTACGTCCCACCATGCTTGTTTTGCTAACAATAGCTGATGCATGCACGAGGAGAACATTACTAGTCATTATTTTTATCGCTCAGGATTACTGGATAGGCGGGGTGTGTAAAACGAAACGATCGGTTTTTTTGATTTCAGCGTTTCGTTAGTACATCCGGTGAAGCAGTAATGATTATGATTGTACTGTGTGTTGAGTATCGACTATCGTATCCGTGGCCTGCAAGCAGGAGTGATGGGTGAATGAGACGAATGTGCATGCTCACATTCGCCTTCAGTGTTTGCAAACTGGGTAGAATCCTGAATAGAATCAAGTGTTACTGGGTGTGAGCATGCTGAACGTCAGCTGTGGGCTCATTGTCATTGAAGTAGCTGTGCTCTGAGTGTGCCCACTCCTGGAGAGCATGTATTTGAGTGGATGCACTTGGACATAACAGCCTGAAACAGTCATGTCTGCACTGCTATGATCTCTGTCCAGTTGCATTTAGCAATGCCCATTTGTTCATAGCTGATTGATACTGCACCGGTGCAGTGCGTACAGGTCTAGTAGTAGTAATGGCCAACAGCAACCGTGCTGGAAGCGGATCAAAAGTGTTCAGTAACATCTGTGGCTGTGCCTAGCAGTGGACGGATGTGTCCTGCACTTGCAAAAACTATCAAGAGAGGCCGCAAAGTGTGCCTTTCAGCTACTAATCCATGTCACAGTCAATCACATCCGGAGAGGATACATACCTTGCTTACGCATTCATTCTGACCCTGGAGTAAAGTGTTGTGTCGTTATTCAGGGTGTGAATTGCATGTTCGTGTCGTAATCGTAATTCAGTACTCAATTTACAGTTCTTAGTATATTCTCAGGCTCAGTACTGCTCTGGTTATACTTTTTTTTTCTCTTTTTTTTTAAATTACGCTCTCTACATGCCTTTGTGCGCTGCATACAGTGAAGTACTCCGGGAATACTACTGTTGCACTGGCATGTGAGGTGGGGGATAACACTCAGATTTTATGCATGCCGCTCATCTAATGTTAGCTAGAGCGGCTGTTAGAATGTGACCAAGGCCCTGCTTCTAGCGTGATGTACTGTAAAACCGGAAAGTCTAATGTTTTAACGACGAATTTTTTCGTTATTTGAAGAAACGTTATCGTGAACCCAGTTTGAGGTGTCTGTGTAAAGATGCGCATACGTCGATGTTAAGCTTTCCGGTTTTCACAGTAGTAGCGGAGAGATTAGGCCAGGTGCGGCGTTCGCCAACGTGTAGTAGTAGTACTAGTATTATAGTGTGAAGAAGAAAGTGAGTGGAGTTTCTATAGTAACTGTATAGATAGCTGTTCTGCGTGTCCGCTACCTTGGCCGCACAGCTTTGCTAGCCCAGTTTCAGCTGTGCTGCACAATGTGTGATCCTTTTTGTTAGACTGATGGTAGTCAAAGTTGATTTCTAGCATAACGTGGTTCCGTGTTCTTGGCTTGCTCGTAGCCAATCGAAAATCATAAATGAAATACGACCTGGCCACCGTTGGATTCTGACATTTCCGTACCACTTCCAACACAGCGCTGTATGGAGGAAAAACTATTTTGTCGGTATCTACAACTTCGAGTCCTGTTGCTGGTGTGTGAGGTCGGCCAGAGAGCGCGTTTGGTGGAGGTGGGATTACTTTACTTTTACTCCCAATACATAAGCGACTATACAAAAATTATCTGCCAGCGTGCGAATAAGCTACTCGTTGTGTACAGATAGGGATCATTTTTTCTGTGCAGCTCTGAGTGTCAGACCAAAGCAATCATGAGACAGGCACTATCAGACATGCGCTGTCCGATGATTGTATTGGCGCCAAACTGATACTTTCAATGGATACCCCCGATCCGATCCTGCGTGCTTTCTGCGCACAGCTCCGCACGTGTGTGCACGTGTGTGCATTGAGCGCTCTGTGGTGTTTGACTGTTTTCTCCTTGATGTCCACTCACACACACACACACACACACACACACACACACACACACACACACACACACACACACACACACACACACACACACACACACACACACACACACCTGCAGTTGTGTCTGAGGCTGCATGTTGTGTGTCTGTGCGTTGGCTTTCTAGACCGGCAGAAGTGATGTCAACGCGCCAAGAGTGATCGGTCACAAGGGACAGGTTCTGGATCTGCAATGGAATCCCTTCAACGAGAACATGATTGCTTCCGCCTCGGACGATTGCTATGTGAGTCTGAGTTCTGGAAGCATAGTCTTTTTCTCCGTATAGAAGAATGTGCGTGTGGGCCTCCTTTAAAATATTGAACCGTGCTGTGCAGTCAGTCCTCAAGGTGAAGGACAAAGGACATGTTGTACATGTTCAACTCACTCCACCTCATGTACAGGTTTAATGCTTCATTCTCGCATTGGCAGGACTTGTTCATGTCTCTACTGGTTTGAGGTGCAGATTCGCTATGCGGGAATATTTAAGACCGGGTCCAGCATGTGTGTTGTGTCTTCGCGGTACTACCTACATTGTTATCCGCGCCTGTCATGCATCAGCTGTGCGAGTAGCAGTTACATCGGGCTTTGCCGAAAATTGTAAACGAGCTTGCGTGTGCTTCTGTGCGTTACCAACTGCGTGCTCAGGTCAAGGTCTGGGTGATCCCCGACGGCGGCCTGACGGAGAACCTGAGCGAGTCGACCGTTGACTTGGCGGGACATCAGCGTCGTGTCGGTTTTGTGCAGTGGCATCCCACGGCAGAGAACATCCTCGCCTCCGCTGGATTCGACTACATGGTGAATACTGCTATATAAGGACATGTTAAAACAATGAATCCAGTTGTATTGGTTTTGTACAGTGTGCTCTGTATTCTTCCGTACTAAAACAATTTCCACTGACTGGGTAGAGTACCAGAAACATCCTCAGACCGCATTCCTACTTCGAAGTACTTGCGCACCCTGTGACAATTTCTCCCGTGTGAAAGTCCGTGTTCAGCTAAGTGTATGAAATAGTTCGTTTTGCAACATCCTGCTACTGGTGTCCGGATGGCTAGCAGTCCTGTACGCTCAGTGTACGTATTCATTAGCTGAGGGAATGGAAACCGGGGAAAGGTCTGAAGAAAAATAGACTGTCACCACCAGGACTTGAACCAGGGACTCTCTCCTCAAGTTCAAGCCAGCGCTGCTCTAACCACTGAGCTATGGTGTAGCTGTCAGTGCAGGCCTTTGTGTTTGTGGCGTTACGGCGATTTGCTCCACGCTAGTGTCCTGTGTCAGATAATACTGGGCTCGCCACCCGCGAGTGTTGTCGCACAGGCGTACAAGGGCGACCAAAGTTGCATACATCTAACTACAAGACTAGACTAGACAGGCAAGTGTACACAACAAACACACGCAAACACACGCACACACACACACACACACACACACACTCACACACACACACACACACACACATATGCACACACACACACACATACACACACGCGCATGCACACACACACACACACACACACACACACACACACACCGATTCACAACCGGACTTGCAGGTGAGTCTTTGAAACTCACTTCGATCAATAACTGAAGCAAAGTGACTTGAAGAAAACAAGGCTCCTTTTTACTAAAAGTGAACTGCCCCTTGTGCATCAATGCAGCGAGCTTATAATATGAAGTTCTAACCAAACCAAGACTAAAGGGATGGGATTAGAACTAACCAGCAAGCATTGTGCAGCTCCGCTCCGATTGTGCAGCGCATTCTGCAATTAAAATACATCTCCCAAAAGTTGAACTCGGATGGTGAGCCAATTTAATTATAGTAAAAAGTAGTCAGCAAGCCCCGTGGTGCATAGAAACTGTAGCCACATCATCTGGTGGGAATTGATGGTCAGGACTCACCCTAGTGGATATGGGGTCAAATAACGTTACAACCCTGATAGGATAGCTAATTGGAGGGCAGCGCAAGTAAACTTGTGAAGGGCTGCAAGGTTTGAAAGATTGGACCCTTCTAGATTGTGATATGCAAGAAATTAATTCAGTGCCGGTTGACTTAAGTAATCCAAACGTTTTTTTTCTTCTCTCATGCTTAGCACTGTATTCTACCACCCTTCTCAATCGTGTAGGTATTTATCTGGAATGTGGCTACGGGCGAGGCAGTGAAGCGCATCGACTGCCACGTCGACACCGTCTACTGCATTTCGTTCAATTACGATGGCAGCCTGCTGGCAACGGTCAGCAAGGACAAGAAGCTGCGCATCATCGACCCCAGAGAAGGCACCATCCGTTATGTACGTGACAGGAAACACTATTTATGAAATTGGCGTACGACTTCATTTCAGCTACATTTCTGCATAAATATTACACTTAAGAGAATGTGCGATGTGTTTTGCAAGGTAACTGTTATGTACAACTTATATGCAGTATAGCCTACAGACGGAACTCGCTGGTCTGCCCCATGTCCAAAACAGGGCCACAAGAGGGTCGTGATAGCGGGGGCGCTCTCACGGTACTCTAGCCTAGGGTACTACTCAATCGCATTATCATTCTGGCGTGTACCGTAATATTATTATATCATGTATGCGCCTGTCGCAAGAGAAGCACGCCGATCCGCAAATTTGCTGGATGTGCACCCACAGATGTTTGCCTTATAGCAACAAAAGCGGATCTGAATCTGAATGAAACAGATCAAGACTAGTGCCAAATAACTGTCTAATCCCCATGACCGGCGTGTGTATGGATGTACATGCACTGTTTCAGGAAGGAAACAGTCACCTGGGAGCGAAGGCTAGCCGCGTGACGTTCCTGGGTAAGGATAACCGCGTCCTAACGACCGGCTTCTCAAGAATGAGCGAGCGCCAGTACGCCATCTGGGACATCAAGGACCTGTCCAAGCCGCTCAAAATGGAGATGATCGACACCGGTTCAGGCGCTCTCTTTCCGTTCTTCGATCCCTCAACGAGCATGATCTACTTAGCAGGAAAGGTAAGATATAATCCGACTTGTGATGAGCTAAGAACGTGTCACATACATCTACCTATCTTGAGCACATCTCGTATTGTCACTCCCTGCATGTTTTCATCATCCATTGCTCGATGCCTCCCCAGGTTAATTCCCATCTAACCGTGTCTGACTATTAACAATACTATCATAATCGGCAATCTTCCTTATCGGCAATCTTCCCTCTTGGCAATCTTTCTTCTTGGCACCTCAACATTGTGCAAAACAGAAAAATTAAGAAATTAAAAAATTATGAAGAAAGGACCAAGGGTTGAAATGTTCTCCGTAGTTGAGATCATACGGGTAAAATCCACTGGTAGGAGATTGCCTGTTCAGTCAGCCCTCGCTTAACCGCACACATCCGTTTTCCACGAAAATATCCGGATAGGTGAGGGAACCGGATAACCAAACACCGGTGTTATTTTGGATACATCACATATTCTATAAATCTGTAACCATAGCAGCTATTTTCCTCCGGAGGGCGAGGGATCCGGATAAAAGAGGACCGGATAAGCGAGGTCCGACTGTATTTAGAAACCAGACTTCCTAGGCTCCAGGTTATATCCGAGCGTACAAGCAGAACTGTGAACCTAGACCACTGGTCTAGAAAGGCCATCTTTCCGTGTACTGAAATGCACGCGCCCAATATTAAAAATGCCGTAATGTGTGGACCATCTCTAAGTGAAGAGATCACGGCCAGCAGAGGTGAACTTCAAGTCTGGGATACCAGTGCACTGTTTTACCAGAAAAGGGTTTATCTTGAAGTTTCACGGCGTGTGCCACACTGTGACAAACGGGGTAGCCAACTCGAGTATTTCGCTCCTTGATTTCGGTTTAGCAAGACGCTCTGAGTTGGACTATGTTTCGTGCTGGTTAGCTTCACGCTTCACCCACTAACTTCCGTATCTTTAGTGCCCGTGTTCCCTGTTCTGTAAATTATGATGCCTGTGGCTCTTGACTGATGATGGCAGACCAGTACAGAACGGAAATGGTGAGCGCTCATTGGCTAAACTGGCAGTCCGCTGTCTGGAGGCAGACCGGATAGGCTCGCATAAAAAAAAGGAGGTATAATAACGAATAGGCACATGTAGTATGGAGCCGTAAAGGAGCACCATGCACATCGCATGCGTGTACTTGTCCCTACGGTGCATCATGGTACATCTGCTGGACGGTCTGCCTTTGATTTCACTCCTACCTATTGCAGAAAGGGTGTAGATTGTACTACAGTCAGACCTCGCTTTTAAAAGAACCGGATATAAACCGTACAGGGAAGGACGCTGTGTCCTACAAAGCCCTTCACATGGCAATGAATATAACAGATATAAAGAAGCCCAGAGGTCGCCCAGTGACCAGATGGGTAGACAACATTAGGAATGACCTTTTCCTTCTCAATATGTCTCTTTTGGAAGCGGAGCAACTTGCCTCAGACAGAACGCACTGGCTCGACGTTGTCGACAGATGCATGACCCTCATTTGATTTTTCATATGAGCTATATGCGTGCTGTATTATTATTATTATTATTATAAACCATACACTGTTTATGTTGGATGCACCACGTATGCTGTAAATCTATAACTAGCTATTTTCTTCCGGATGGCGAGGGACTCGTCCGAAAAAAAGAGGACCGGATAAGCGAGGTCTGACTGTAGTGCAAACTTGAAGCCCGTAAGTACACAGGAGCGTGCTTGAAGTGGCTACGGGTGATAGTATGGGACCTTCTCTCACTGCGTGGCGTTCTCACAGTCTGTTGTTGTGATGCTGCGATGCATTGCGAATCCGTCTCCTATGTGCAGGGTGATGGCAACATCCGCTACTACGAGCTGGTCCAGGACAGGCCTTACTGTTACTACCTGGATGCCTACAACTCATCGGCGCCGCAGCGTGGCCTGGGATGCCTGCCCAAGCGTGCCGTCGACGTCGCCGGATGCGAGGTAGCGCGCTTCTTCAAGGTCCAAGTCAAGGGACTCATCGAGCCTATCTCCTTCAAGGTTCCCAGAAAGGTGAGAGCATTACCTGGACATGCATCGACCCGTTTCAACACACACACACACACACACACACACACACATACACACACACACACACACACACTGACACACACACACACACTGACACACACACACACACACACACACACACACACACACACACACACACACACACACACACACACTGACACACACACACACTGACACACACACTGACACACACACACACTGACACACACACACACACACACACACACTGACACACACACACACTGACACACACACACACACTGACACACACACACACACACACACACTGACACACACACACCAAATGCCCGTATAACCATGTACATGTAAAGTCAACAAGCCAGCTGTTTCTCTCAATCGCTGGAAAAGCTCAGTGGCTACTTCTGTGCTTGCGCTTTCAAAACAATAATATTATAGTTTCAACAGCAACAAGCGTCCCATAAGATTGTGTCAAATATGCCAGGTGTATTGAGCGCACTTAAGTTGGAGTGCTCCTGAGTATGTACATATAATGTTAACCTTTTTCCGGAGATCTCAAGTGGATCTCCATCGCTTCAGCTATAACCTGGCATAGTCACAGAGGATCTCAGCACTTGATCATGCCTCAAAGAGCGCAGAAATACTTCGAGTACAGCTTACACGGCCTTGCCCTCCATACCCACACACTCCTTTCTTCTAGTACAGGTGGAATCCTGATAATTCGAATCTCAAAATGCCAGGAAAAAAACTTCTAATTATCCGGAAATTCTAATTATCCAAACATGAACCCACAACACAATATGTACAATCAACTTCGCTTATAACGACACTCGGCGGGGCATCAGAAAAGTGTCGTTATTCACAAAGTGTCGTTATACCCGAAGTCTCATTATATGTATTACAGTTGGATGGGACTTTGCTCTGGGCATGGAAATTATGTCGCTATTCGCGAATTGTCGTTATATCCGCAGTCGTTATTAGCCAAGTTGACTGTATGTCAAAATGCTCTCATGGTCACGCAGAGTTGCGCTATGGACCTTAGACACAGATTTCACGGATACTGAACTGACCGGCACAGCCTGCTCATGCAAACTGAACTGACCAGTACAGTGTACAGTGAACTTCGAATTACACTTTGCTAACTTCGAATTATCAGCACAAATCCCACATGTTTTCTATGTAAGTGGAATCTGTGGGACTTCTAAGTAACCGGACATATCCAGTTCGAGGTTCGAATTATCAGAAATGTTTATGTGGGAATCGTATTGATGGAAATCGGTCCTGGAAAAACTTCTAATTAAGCGGTCTGTTCGAATTAAGCCATATTCGAATTATCAGGATTCCACCAGTCCTGTATCTCTGTTTGTTATGGGCCATGTGTAACACCCTGACATCCTAAGTTAGCAGACTCCTAACACTAGTGTAGTGTTAGTGGGAACTGGTTTTGAATTGCTGGTCAACCGTGACCAGTGACATCTGACCAGTGCCACCTGGTATGGTTGCCCTGGGAATAATCCCAGCACAGGACGAGATGAAGCGGAAAGCGCTCAGCCAGCTGATTCAGATTTAGGGGCATACTGAAAATCGACCAAAAAAGACGGATTTAGCGAATTTTTGCATTCCAGCTCTTGATGCATATTCTGTTGTCTCCCTTTCCGTCCATCTTCTCACAGTCGGAACTGTTCCAGGAGGACCTCTTCCCACCGTGCCAAGGAGACCGTCCGTCCATGACCGCCGACGAGTGGTTGAGCGGCGTAAACCGTGGACCAGTGACAATCTCACTGCGAGATGGCTTCAAAGCAACCGAGCAGAAGGATTTTGTTGCGCCTGAGAAGAAGTCTGCCGAGGAGGTAGATAGCGCACCAAAGTCTGAAAAGGAGGTAGGCTGACGTACTTTCTACCCCGTGCGAACATGCACATGTACATGCTCTAGGGGCTTTGACTAGTGACGGTGTGAATGTTTGTGTGTGGGTGTGTGTGTGCGTGCGTGCGTCGGATGGTCAAATGGTGTGTGTGTGTGTGTGTGTGTGTGTGTGTGTGTGTGTGTGTGTGTGTGTGTGTGTGTGTGTGTGTGTGTGTGTGTGTGTGTGTGTGTGAGTGTGAGCGTGTTTGTAGGCATGTGAGTGTGTACGTGTGTGTGTGTGTGTGTGTGTGTGTGTGTGTGTGTGTGTGTGTGTGTGTGTGTGTGTGTGTGTGTGTGTGTGTGTGTGTGTGTGTGCCGATTGAATCTCTCTCCCCTCTTTGGGGGAGACTCGCATGACCAGTCATGGCAGGGAGCAAGAACAGTGTAGTACAGTTTGCCGATGTGTGTGTGTTTGTGAATGTGTGTGTTAATGTGTATGTGTTCGTGTGTGTGTGTGTTTGTGAATGTGTATGTGTTCGTGTGTGTTTGGGAATGTGTGTGTTAATGTGTATGTGTTTGTGTGTGTACACGCCCCGCATGTCAGCTTGCTGAAATAATTCAACCACTCCTGATCCTGTACTCTTGTGTGTGTACAAACTTGGCCTGTGTTCCAATGTACAGCTTCGCAAGGCGTACCATGAGCTGCGCGAGGAGAACAAGAAGCTGAAGGAGAAGCTCAGCTCACAGGAGATCCGCATCCGTCAGCTCGAAGCCGAGCTACGCAGATAAGCCGACCGACATCAAAGAGATGTGTATGCGCCGTGTGGGCTCCATCCCCGGCCGTTGATCCGTACTTGGAGACAAACTCTACGTACCATATCTGCTCTGAACAACTGGCAGGTCACAAAGCACGACAACACTAGTGCTGTTTTTTTCTATTCTATTTTTTTCCCTCTTTTCTATCGGTCCAGAATTCTATTTTTAGGCGTTTATGGATGTTGCAGTTTTGGTAACGATTTTGGACAAAATTATGCTTCCTAGGTTTTCGTCTCTCCCTGTGTTGTTGCTTGTTCGCTGGATTTCAGTGGAGTATTTTTTTTGCATTTTTGACAATTTCATGAATTCCCCTATGGCTATCAATACGTATGATGTATGTGAAGAGTGCCACTGTTACTAGTGGTTATACCCCCCCCCCCCCCTCCCTTACACACATCAGGTAACTGCTTCATCCAGTTTCTGTGTGCTGCCGCCCATATAGCTGATCTGTTCTTCCGCCCGCACCCTGCTTGTGTGTGTGTGTGTGTGTTGAGTCTCTACTCACGATGTCGCGTCTGTATTTTATTTTTCTTCCCCGCGTGTGGCTGTTGTTAGGTTCGTATAGAATAGTATTCGAAGTCTTTTCTGACAGTGGCTGATCTCCTCCTCTCTTGCGCTTGTCACAGTATTCGTTCATGGAAATTTGCCTGGTTTCTCTAAGTATTGGTTTCCCGTACCTGTATTTGACAGCTACCCGTGTGCCTGTGTGTTCATGCGTGTGTGCGAAGGGTTTCAAAGAGGAAGACACACTGTATATTCAGAATTATATACTGTCAAGCGTGAAATTTTTGCGGCGTTTTTTGTTCACGTTTTCAGAATCCGGACAGGTTTGCGAGGTTTTAATTTTGCGATTGCAGAATTTGCTACTGTGGCATTCATGCTAAACTTTTATGGATCTCCTTTTTGCGCTGTCTAAATTTCGCGACTTCCACGCGGTCGCGAATTTCGCAGAAATTAGACCATGGCAATAATTTCACGATTTACAGTAGTTATAAACCTGCAGGCTAGTCCAGGTACTTCAAGAGGTAGACGTGAGATTGCTTGTCAACTGAAGACGTTCCCCAGCACAAGTAGGTTAGCAGTGCCACCACCGTCCAGCATGTACTGTTGTGTCTAAAAGTTGAAGGTGGCTGTGATCAATTATTTGGAGCAGACCATCTTGATGTTTATCGTCTTGCCCAGCACTGAGACACTACTATCAGAAGACTGACAATAATGTGGTAAATCCAGGCATTAGTAATTTACTAATGCCTGGATTTACCACTGATAGCTCCTCAACAAATTCAGTTCATTGGCATGGCTGTGATCCAGGTCGGAATCACACAATAGAGAGGTTAAGATGCACGTTATTTCCGACGGGACGCGCAATTTCACGCCAAATTTGGCGTAAAACTCCAAATGTCGACGTGAGCAGCAGGTCACTCGCGTTGATTTTTCGACGTGCGAGCAAATAACGCGAGCTGAACTTTCGCGTCACGTCAGAAACAATGTGCATCTTAACCTCTCTAATGTTCCAAAATAAAATGACCACAGCAAAAATGTTTGATGATGATTTTTTTTTCAAAGAATTCTGTACAAAATCAACGTTAACGGAATGAGACATGTGAATACACAGAATATCCTGCAATCACTTTCAAATGGGCCAACATATGATGAAAGGCAGAGCTGACAACCGCGAGCTTCTTTAGCCTAAGAGTGAGCAATACGAAGCTGCTGAACCATAATATGCCAGGGCAGTATTATTTTTATTAAAGTTGAAAATATTGGTGCTGTGACAGTGTAGATAAATTGAGGCAATAACTTATCAAGAGCATCATCCCCTTGCATGTTTATTTAATAGTGAATACAGACAACCCAACTGGATCTGTTTGGGAGACCTTCCAATGCTTCGCAGTACAAATCGCTGAACACACCAGTATCGCTCCGTGGAGATGTTTCCAGGTAGATGGTGGGTTGCTGCGGCAGAACACACAGAACACTCAAGAGACTGCATTCGTGAGCCGACGCTGGGTGGTGGTGGGCCTGGCTCCGCACAATCAACTCCGATGCACCGGGCATCACAGGTGCGCAGGGGCCGGATCATAGGCCGCAAAGGAAGACAACTGCAACCTATCAGCTAAGCTGAAAATAAAACGACGCCCTCACCAACCAATAACTCTCTCCTGCATCAGCTCAGTCTACTACCATCATTGGCTACCTCACAGTGCAACAAACAACAGTCTTTGCTGTCGGCACTGGCATTCCAGAGTTTTAAAGAACCTCGTCAACCTAGTCTCCGTGACACAAGCCACCAGGCACCTTCTCCTCCGGCTGCAATGCCTATGTCAAAAGCAGCATCCTGACGCCGATTGGCCTGGCCTTGCCGGGCCATTCTGTCCGGATTCGTCCTCCATCAAGACGTAGGCAGTTTCATTGCTCTTGCCGAGCACGGCCGCAGCTTTCTGGCTCCGCTGTTGCGCTACTTCTGCGTACTTATCGTGTATGATACCGGCAACGGTCTGGAACACCTGCTCAACGCCTGCAACACAGCGTGCGCATACACCACACCAAAAACAAGACACAACAGCCGAAACGAGATGAAAACACACGATAGCAAATTGGCAATGCAGTACTGTGGGTCGCCGAAGAACTGGGGGAGGGGGGGGGGGGGGGTCAGCCTTCTAGCCTAGACCGTTCTTATTTTCATGTATTACAGTCTATGCACAGTTGAGTTACTGTGTATACATTGGTATGCCGTGCTTGGTGAAATTCTAACCTGGCCGTTCTTCGGCGCCCAACAGTACTGTAGTGAAAAAGCCGATCTTGTAGTGCGATGCAGGCACAGGACTGAGTCACTGCAGCAAATATTTTCTACCAGCAACATGCCTTCCTGTCACTGTTCAGTTTTACCACACCGTATATGTACATGGAAGGTCTCTAGCACAGGCAGTCATACTTACACTTACAGGCCAAGCAGTAGACCAGAGAACAACAGCGATACAGAGTTACACCCGTTGAATTGTTAGATACGCAGATTGAGAATTTCGCTCCTGCTCTTGTAGCAGTTGAGCACTCTTGTGTGGGGTAGTGCCTTTGCGGCCACGGTTATGCAGAGCTCGCTGACTTGTCAGTTTGAGCACTCTGGCAAGGTACGTTCGGGCCTGGTTTAAATCTGGCTTTGGAAAATTTATTTTTCATTGCTATCAGGTTCGGCCTCATTTCCTCTGTGCTGTGCTGATGAGTCCACAAAGGACGAAACAGTTCTCTCTTCAGATTGAGTATTTTGCTCCTGCTCTTGTAGCAGTTGAGCACTCTTGTGTGGGGTAGTGCCTTTGCTGTTTGCGTTATGCAGAGCTCACTGACTTGTCAGTTTGAGCACTCTGGCAAGGTACGTTCAGGCCTGGTTTAAATCTGGCTTTTGGAAATTGTTTCATTGCTGTCAGGTTCGGTCTCATTTCCTCTGTGCTGTGCTGATGAGTCCACAAAGGACGAAACAGTAATGTCCGCAGATTGCGAATTGTTAGATAAAAATGTTCGTCAATAAAGACGGTCTTCCAGTATCTCAAGACACCATGATCTAACCTCTGCTATCCATTGCGGACGTTTCGTAGAACCTTGCCTCGTACGAGTCGGCAAACTCCTGGCCTTGCCGAGTAGCAATCTTGCGCTCCGACTCCAGATCGAGCTTGTTGCCGATGACGCACAATATCACGTCGTTCGTAGAATTCTCCTTGAGCTCATGCAGCCAGAGCTTGGCGTCGGCGAACGATTTCTCCTTGGTGATGTCGTAGACGACCAGCGCTGCGTTGGCATGACGATAGTACATGGGCGCCATGGCGCGGAAGCGCTCTTGACCCGCGGTGTCCCATACTTGGAGTCGCACGTTCAGGTCACTGACACGCCTGCGTGCAGATCACCCGGTGAGTGTGTGTGAGGGTGTGTGTGTGTGTGTGTGTGTGTGAGTGTGTGTGAGTGTGTGTGAGTGTGTGTGAGTGTGTGTGAGCGTGTGTGAGTGTGCGGGAGAAAGGAAAGTACAGTCAAACAAACCATATGATTAGCACCACAACCATGACCACAACCATGACCACAACCATGACCACAACCATGACCACAACCATGACCACAATCAATCCCATCAAAAGAGTTCTTTAATGTTTATAACTGGTCTCAAATTGAGCCAGAACTGGACCGCACACTGCCTAGCCTCCTCCCCTACCCCCCCCCACAAACGCATACACACACTCATGCACATGCACACACACACACACCAGGGCCATACCCAAGGGGGTCAGCAGGGTGGTATTTCTTCACAGACCCCTATTTATTATTGGAATGTGTTTTACACGTATGGACTTGGGCTGCAGAGGCTCACACCCGCTAGTGTTCAATGATCCTACCACGAAAAATGGACAATGTCATTATTGCATCTGATGGCTTTGTCTTGCAAGATTTGTAGCCAGCTGTTACTAGTGTAATCATTATGGGCACCGTGTTTTATTGCGAGTGCGACATTGAAGTACATGTATAAAGCAGGTTGGATTATTTGAAGAGCAGAATGACAATGAGGAATCCAAAATCTGAAAGTAATGATAGTCATGCATTACTGAGGGATTGGTTCGAACTTGAAATGTACGGAACACTCTTTCACTGAGACCTTCTCTTCCCAATGAGGAGACATGAGAGACAGAAGCAGCGTGGACTGGAGGGATCTTCAGCCAGGGTAACTTGCATTTCTACTGTTTCTCCCGTTCTTCGACACGAGAACTCGTTGTCAGCAAATAGAGAAAAGCATCTCTGGATCCTCTCTCAGTGCTGCCAGCCAACTGGGTCTGTTTTGCCCACCGCGGCTTCTGATTTCCGTATTTCACAGTGTTATTTTCCGTACCACCAATCAGGGAGTAGTACAATACCGGTATTGTACTACTCCCTGCTACCAATGTACTGCCGCGTGCATTGCTTGTATTGTGCTTTTCTGACACTCGCATGCTTGTCCGTGCCTGAATTTGCTAGCGCAAAACATGTGTGACTTGTAGCACGAGATGATATGTTGTGCTACATGTAGTTGAAGCATGGAATGCACTCACTTTGGCACAAGGATATTCATCGCTCAGTTAGCGCTTGCCATGCTTCTACATACATATCTGTAGCTGATCGATCCTCTTTAATTTTCCGTACCATTTTGCTCAAATTCCGTACTGTGGACGAAGGAGTGATTTTCGGTAAAAATCCGGAAGGTTGCCAGCACTGCTCTCTTTCAAGGCTCTTTCTCCATCAGCTGCTGCTCCTGCTGCTGCTGCTAAGCACCTGACCCAGCAGGAAGCTACCGTCGAAGCAGGAAAAAAGTGCAGCTTCTCTTCGTAACATATCACTAGCAGGGTTCTCAGTGATGTTAGTCCTCTGATTGGGAAGCTGGCATTGCTTGCCTGTTCAGGCACACGGGTCTGGCTCAGCATCACTCTACGGAACTATTCTTCTTGCGAATAGAGGATGAAAGTGACCGGCACTGCCACCTTTTTCATTCGAAAATATACTGTGTTTGTCACGGCAGGCTTTACGGGCTTACCTTACCGACTGCGACACCGATTAGACTACTTGATGTACCAGTACTCGGTGACACTTGACAAAACGATGTTGCAAGAATGGTTTCTTCACTTACTTCTTAACTTACTGGTAGTTCTACCTACGCATCAGATTGATCGCGGATATGCTAGACTAGATAGATGCGCGACGGAAAAAGGTCCGCTGCCGGCGTCAGGGTGGTTTTCCGCGCACTTGGCGCAACGTGGGTACGCCCCTGCACACGCACACACACGCGCACGCACACACACACACATCACCACTGTCACTCTGTGTGTGCGCACGCGCGCGCGCGTGTACGCACCACCACGTTTTTTTTTCAAACTGCAGAGTCTGAGGAGCAATACGTGGCGTACTACACGTATACTGTCTTACCACTGCGGCGCTTTTTGCACTCGAAGAAGGGCGTGAATTACTCCATGTTACTCAGCTTCCTAATCCTAAATTCCACTTGCTGTTCACAACGAGTAGAGAACTGTCGGATGCCGAAGAACAAACAGGCCAGAATTTCACCAAGCACAGCATGCCAATAATAAGAACGACCTAAGCTACGAGGTTGACCACCCCCCCCCCCCCCCCCCCCCCAGTTCTTCGGAACCCCACAGTACTGTATGGCACATGGGGGGGGGGGTCTACGCTTTCTACTCCGTACTCCGTACACACTGGGCCACCGACACATTCAGAACCATGCGAAATCTGCATTGCTCAAGTCCTTCAGTACTAGACTGATTGTCAACCAACCCCCCCCCCCCCCCCCCCCGCATGCCACTGTCACACCAGGGTTGAAAAAGTTTTAGCCAAAGGGGGATAGGGGGCACAGCGCCCCCCCCCCCCCCCCCCCCCCTACTCATTTTCCGATTTTTGTGTTTTTTTCATGCCATTCAACGAAAATGCAGTCGATAGTATAGTACAGTCAGTACTAGAGGATTCCTAAAGGCACATTTGTCTGGGGTGAAGTCAGGTGTTCACCCCGTAGATCTATGTTGCATTTCGCATTGCAAGACAGTTATTTTGAAAATGGAAAAAAATGGGTTACAGGGTAACTGTTCCCCCCCCCCCCCCTTACTATTTTGACCTGGCTAGAACCCTGCACACTAGTAATATAAGTACAACTACGAACGTATCACTTGGATCAGTGTATTGTCCATGTTCTAGTAGTAGTACACGACTGTATTCTCCCTGGAGCACTTACTCATTTTCGGTGTTGAAACTCACAACATGTACCAATAACAGAGACCCTACGGCCCATGATTTGGCATGAATGATGGAGTACCACACGGTGACACCGCTAACAGAACTGCAAGTGCAGTACAGATGGAGTTCAGTATGAAAACTATTCTAACAAAATTAATATTTTCGAAGCATGTGACTTATCGGTGTATGAACAGTAACGAGATTGCAGGTAATGCTCACAGGTGCGATGTCAGGAACGATGCTCCCACCGTGGATGGTATGGACTTCGGCAACTCGCTATTCTTGTGCTGGTGCCGTAGCACTAGGGAAGTTTTACCGCTACCTGCAATGCACGCAGCAAACATACACCAGCCACAGCATAGCAGGAGATTCTCTGCAAATGCAAAAAAATTGCTTTTCTCCGCGTTACGCTGATCGATTGTGGGTGGAAATTTAATTGGGTCAGGAATCAGGAATCAAAAAGACGTCTCACCTTGCGAACCGATGACTACGACCTTGGCGTCGATGGTAGTGGACATCCCGGAATAGAGAACTGTTTTGATCGCGACTCTGTGTGCTATGACAGAACGTCTCGCGCAAAGCGCCACTTCCTTGTTGCACCCTGTCCCGGCTGTTGCTAGCTGTGCGCAGCCTCGACTCTAGTCTTGACTTGTGCAGATGTGCACCCACTGCCACTACACTTCACTCTCCAGACAGGAGGTCTACCGACCACGACTATGGACGTGTGTGAAGCTAGCTGGCTCACGCTAGGCACCAGCCTACAAGTAGTTACAACTGAACTCAGTGTAGTGTAGATCTACCATGCTACTGCATGCGGCGCGCGCGGGGCCGGTTTTTTTTGCTTTGCTTTCGCAAACTAACACTTATTTACTAATACTTACTAGTAGTACTTTGAAGTGGCCGCGGCTCAGCCAGTATTTCTCCAACTCAGGGGTCGTTTACATGAGGAAATAATCCCGGGCTGCATGGATCGGATAAGCCTGCCTTTCTTCTGTCACCCAGTCATCTTCATCATTCAGGAACATTTACCGCTGCCTACAATCCTACATGTGCGATTTGAAAAAATGGAATGCAGGCAGAACTCGCAGTCGTCGCCCACCTACCTGAACTACTTAGCACCGTATTCATGCACCGTCTCATCTGTATACATGTACGCTAGTTTACGACGTGTACTCAATGATGATTGTAGCAAAACACAATCTGACACAATCATTAGTACATTACTGACACCAAGACGGCAAGAGTACAATCATTATTCATAACCCCGGGGTTATTGTACTCTTGCTGACACTGTATCTCCACTGCATTTTGAGCAATACAATCATGTCTTTTGCACACTGGGAGCATTGACTTACACTGGGTACATGCAGATCTAACGAGAGAAAGATACCTTGGATACAGGCAGGCCAAAGGAACATAAAAGCCAAAAAGGTATAATAAATAAATAGAACTGAAAAAAGAAGTAAGAAGGTACTCTAATACTAGTAATAGGAGGGGCCCGGGGGGGGGGGGGGGGGGGGGGGGATCCCGGGAGAGCCACAGAATTACTAGAAAGAGAGAAAACAAAACAGTACATCTAATGATCTACATGTAACTGTTTTACCAGCAATGCCAAGAGTGCAGAACCCCTGGCCCTGATGGGTTGATGCACTCTTGACGTCTTGTCTTGATAGCATACCGGTGTGGTCAGCGGCTTGCCCTACCGGTATCGCTAGCAAAGCTCAGTGTGTCTACTTGCACGTGAACGTACATGTAACTAGTAACAGGGAGTTTTTCGATTTTGACAGCATGTTACAAGGCGAGGACGCGTAGTGCTCCTTGTAACATGCTGTCAAAATCGAAAAACATGTTAACTACCAAGCAAGGCTTCTGTATATAACAGGGAGTTGTAAAACACAATTCCACATGTACATCTTTACGACTTCCTGCTTAAGAAGGCCGTCTTGGATCAAGGCTAAAGCGTAGAAGAAAAAAACTTAACCAGCAGTGAGCATGTTGTTTGAAACAATCCACTAAGAAGGTTGATTTGCAACGTCAAGTCTCCGGACGAAGCGGGACGGGTTCAGATGCACGATTTTCGGAACTGGACCTAGCCAGCTTCATGCATGACACCGTTGTCGACCGGCAATTACGCTTGTAATGCCAATTTTGCATGCGAAATGGTGTTATGCCACCTGGAAAAAAGGGACTATAGTATAACGCCAGTCATAATGCTAGCATTACCCGCCCATGCCTAACTACTACGGTACTACTAGTACTAGCGGTGATATCATACATACATGACATGCCGACACGCAGCCTACACAGCTAGCTGTACAGCCACATCGAGCACGTGCCAGGCGCATGCTGGGGCGTACAGTGGCACGTGCTAGCACCGCAGATGGTATCAATAAAATAGCGACTAAATGGACAATTCCGAAGTTTCGTCCTCTTCCGTCTTCGTGGTTTGGCCAGCACTTGTGCTACACTCTACACTATACAGAGTAGATCTACAGCACAGACTCGGTGCTGCACTGTACAGTGCTGCTTATCATCAATGATCATCATGGTCATCACGGTAATCCGAGCATCAGATGCTTACGCAGGTCCTACAACTTACTACTACATCACATGTACATACTTTGTCTTGGAAATGACGCTGTCTTCTCGGTTGAATGGAAAATGTCACGCTTTCCAGATCCAGACACAAGCGTGAAAGAGACCCATTTTTTTAACGCCTTCTGTCTTATCGAGTCGTAGCGGATGAAGACTAAAATATCGCTCGGACTAGCCTTCCGGGGGGAAGAAGACGATGCACGAGCAGGCACGCTGGTCTAAAAGCAGCCGCCCAGACTCGTCGGCTACCTCACTTCGGCGAATCTATAGAACGTTGCAGTCTTATTTGGCTCACCGCGAAGCTGCGGACAAGTAAATTCTTCACAATACCGCCAAGCGTCGAGAATTTAGAAGATGATTTACTTCCACCGAATGAAGGCCACAATGAAAACATCAGGACTCTGAGATCGTCTTTCGTCGCTGTTATCCAGCGCTAGCGCTGCATTGTTCAAGTCAGCACTCGCGCGTATCGAGGCAGAGATTCTCCGATGTGCTGTAGCAACCAAACGGGGGGTTATTTCGCATCAGTGCAGAGTCGTCTAGTAAATTAACTTAGTTGTTACGTCTTCTGTACGATCGTGCAGCCGTGTCTGAACTCTACAGTCTCTCCACTGACTCCAGCCACGGGCCATCGCACGCACGGACTTCGCAGCTTGGTGATCGCTACAGAGTACAGTACAGCCTACAGGCAGTGCAGTGCAGACTGCAGTTCTGGTCAAACTCACTTACCGGTACAGCACAATGCACGAATGTGGCCACCTGCGTTGGTCTTGCAGGCCGTTTGCATCACCAGTGCTGCTCCTGGTGGCGACTTGTGTGGCGGGCATTCTCGTAAGGCAAGCCCACAGTGCAGATGACCCAGTAAAGAACAGTGGCAGCGGCAATGCACAGCACACTGGCTCTCCTCGGCCCGATGACCGGGGCGACGACGCTACGTGCATCAACGGGCTGCCGACTGGACCACCAGAGCCCAAACACCCCGTCGTGAAGAACCTGGTGAAGTATCTGGCGCGCCCAGTGAACAGCAAGGTAGAGCTGGAAGACTATCGTAAAGTAGCTACCAAGCAGTGCGAGTGTTACGGCCGCGGCTCGTACAGGGTCCGACCTCCGTTTCTACCCGCCCACGATGCCCCGCTGGATAAGGTGTTCCTTGCACCCGGCGACCTGCCAGCGTTCAGCGTGGACGAGTCCTACTTCATAATCTCGGCACACATCACGCTGACGTGGAAGCAGGTTGTCATTATCGTCGCCGACCACGTGGATTCCAATTACCAAGTGTCCGGTGGTGAGCGTAATAACATGAAACACGGCAGCGACGAAGTGGACATCTACTGCGATTTCGTCGATCACCGTGATCCTGAGAAAGCCGGGCAGAAGCGCCACGGTCCCGTCTGGCCGCTGAGCCACAATGACCACCATGTGCGTACCATCGCCTGCAACATCCCCGACTCGATGCTGGCGTGCCTGAACAGGACGCGGAGTGCGAGCGACTTCCAGGGTCCTCGCTGCATCGACGTGGCGTTGCAGACAGGCACCAGAGGTGACTCGTCCAAGGGAGTCTACACCGTGGCGTTGCTGCAGATCTGCCAGTACGACCGACCGGAACGCAAGAACTTCCTGGCCACGTGCACGCAGCCGATGAACTCCGGCGTGTTTTCGCTTGTGGCACCCTGGATTGACCATCACCATAGGATTGGCATTGAACACTTCTATCTCTATGCCGAGCAGTTGGGCCTGGAACACTACGCTGCGCCATATCTCCAACGCAACATCGCCGAGATCAAGCTCTGGATGGACCCGCGCGAGAAGAAGTACTGGCCGATCGGCTTTCGTCCGCTGTCGCAGGTGACGGCCATGAACGACTGTGTTTACCGGTTGATGGATCATGCGGAGTGGATCGCCTTCTTTGACGTCGACGAATTCATGTCCCCGTTCAAGCACAATCTGCTGGCGCCGTTTCTTCGGCCGTTCACGGAGAAGGACGTGGGTGCCGTGCGCGTCTACACGTGGTACTTCGTGAACCGGGGTCCCGACGACGGCGCCAACACGCTGCTCCTGTCCAACTACGTGCGAGAGCCGGCCGTGTCGGCACGGGAGCGCTGCAAGACCATCGTGCGGCCGCGCCGAGTGCAGATGATCTCCGTCCACATGGTCATGCACGGGTCCAGGACGGAGTCGATCGACGAGCACGCGCTGCGACTCAACCACCATCGTGCCGAGTATCGCGGCCGGGTGGACACGTTCGACGACAGCATGAAGAAGTACAAGACGGCGGTCGCCGCCGACCTACAGGCGTATTACAGCCGGACTATTCCAGATTACTAGCTGCCAGTAGCTGTCCCCCATTCAATCATGCGACAGCAGAGACATGTGAATCATTGTGAGCGTGGCGACTGGATGACATTGGCTCAGTTTTTCCAGGTGCTGAACTACCGGTCCTATGCTATGTACTGTCTCACCGGCTACATGCAGCTGCAGGACTACTGTCTCAGTGGTTACATGCAGCTGCAGTACTCTGAGAAGTCAGTGGTGCTGTGTATTGTGTGCGGCAATAGCAGCTGCAGTGGAGAGGCCATGCCATACTGATACAACTGCCAACACCGTAAAACACTGCGTAATCCTGGTAACGAGAGAAGCTGAGTAACACTGCATGTCCTGATAACGAGAGAAACAGAAACAGCTGCTGAATAGCGCTGATAACTTTCACCGGTTTGGTGTTTACCAAGGAGCAGCCTTCATACATGGGACTGCTGCATTGAGAAAGTATTTATTCCGAGCGATTTATACCGCCTTGACTTCACGACTGCACTTGTATGCGTACTTTTTCTTCTTTGAATATATTCGTGTAGATGTACAGTGACAGGCAGGACAGGTCAGGAAGTTATTCTCAGATCTGGACTACACGCTGCACATGAACTTCCATTGGTACTTGGATTCTCTTTAGATCAGATGATGACCCATGAATCACGTGGCTACAGCCAGCATAGATACTAAAGTTACTTGGCTGCTGATTGTCTTCATCCCAAGATCTACAAGTGCAGTATTATCAGACTCTTTGTTTGACTGGGAATTTTCAAATTTCATTGAATTTTTTGAAAGGTATTGCCAAAGGTTCGTCAATGACTTCTAGATGCTAACAAGATAGTGCATAGCAGCATGTTCCCGGGGTACCGTATGATTACAGTCAGGCGTACTAAACTCACGGCGGCAGATTTGCTGTTGTAAGAGAACTGTCAACATAGGAGACTACAAAGGGCGTGTAGGTGCTAATAAAGCTGTGCCGGTGAGGTGAAGTGCGCTCCCCCGACAATTAATAGTATGCTGAACTCCATGGTAACAAGAATCCTCTCTCGTGCCAAATTCTGGCAAGCACATGGTAATCCAAACAGATATCCACTAACCTTTATTTTGAGCTGCATAGTGTTATTTGTCTGCATGCCGGTTTCAGAGTTCGTACCGATCGCTAACTGCATAATACATGTACTTTTTCGTTTACCCGTACAAGAGGCTTCGACCATCCGTTAGAGCACAACCCCCAGCGAGGTTACAAGGTCGCCCGGACCTCGGAGAAATTCTTCTACCAGCCCCGCGGGTTTGTAGCACCCCGGGCCCGGCCATGGCCTGACGGGCTTATTTTGGAGAAAAAAATAATCCCTGCACCATTCGGTTCACTGGTTGTTATCCAGTATGCTAGAGTTGAATAACTACTGTCCATGTTTGAAATGATGCTTCCTTCGATGTACAATGTATTCCTCGTCCAAGAACCGTATTCCATGTGCATGTACCGGTATTGCATTTGGCCGGACCACCTGATATATCCCGGTGCTACGACCCTGTCTAAAACCGGTCGAGTTTGAGCAGCTAGCACAGCAAGACAACCAGGACACTGACTCGGTGTCATCCCCGGTGAACCCGCACCCGGTCCCAGAAGCTCAGCCCGGGCCGGAAACCCGGAACTCAGGCTCAAAATAATTTGTCCACGTGACGTATGACGTTTCTAAGCTGCACACTGACGACTGACGTCACAGACATCGAACAGCAAAACTGTTTCATTTTGGCTTTGAAAGACTTTTATTGTCCCAAATGCAGAACAGAGAACATTCATACCCGTAGGCCGTACCTTTCAGTGCTGTTTGTCTCTCTTTGTATTGTTTCGGACTGGAGGTTGTTGATCTCTTCCCGGCCTGCGAATTTATTATTTGTGGGTGGTACAATGGCTGCTGAAGACCAACTATGACCGTGTCGTGCCATGACCGGAAAGTATCGATGATAATATCTAGTACTCAGTACTTATCATACTGTTGTAGTCGTGGCTTTATAGCAACTCCTGTATCCAAATATGTCTTACACGAGAAAGCGGCTGTCCGAGGCGCACCACATAGGCTCCTCATCATCGACACCGCCAATTGGAAATCCTGTGCGGCGTAAGTACGACCAGTTTGCCATTGGATATATTCCACCTTGCCAATAGTACATTTACCCTGCTTTGTGCTCAATGCCTAATCAACGTACATCATTGATTATTGTGTGTACTTATATTGGCTTGAGCAATGTGCTATCAATGAATTTTATTCTAAGTTTGCATAGCCTTCAGGTGCTGTAGCAATGTGATAGTCGCCAGTAGAATGTTCGAAATGTGCCAAATGAGTCTGTATGTGTAGAGATGGCCATTAGTTTATTGGCGGGCACCTCCGGGGACAATCTGATCCATAATCCTATAATATGATAACATGCAGTAGGACCTCTCTTATTTGGGTGTCTCGGGGACCGGTGTGCGTGCCCGCATCTCAGAGTCGTCCGTAACTCGGAAATACCGTGACTACACTCGAGTTGGCACGCCTTTCTCTTCAAACGGACTCACCGAACCGTGACGGCCGATGCCGCTCACAAGCATGCACAATAGCGCAGTGACGTGGGCTGACTGGTTAAGGTCATGCCTGGAAACCAGGTTATTCAGTCAAATTTGTCATGAAACAGTGCAAATCTACTATGAGGCCATACCCGGCTTGTAGGGTCTTCATAGCTGGTACCACTTCCAATGGACACCGGGCTACGCCACTGTCGGATCTATAGTACAGGCAGGGTTCTAGCCAAGGGGGGGGGGGGGGGGCAGCGCCCCCTGTGAAAAATTGTCCCCCCCCCCCCTACTCATTTTTCGATTTTTTCCATGCAATTCAACGAAAATTCAGTCGATAGTCAGTACTAGAAGGTTCATAAAGGCACATTAGTCCGTGGTGAATTCAGGTGTACGTTGTATTTCGCATTGCAAGACAGTTATTTTGAAAATGGAAAATGCCCCCCCCCCCCCCCCCCACACACACACACACTATTTTGACCAGGCTAGAACCCTGATAGGGTTAGGACATCGCATGCACTGCAATAGAGGTTATGCGATTACATAATCAGGTGATAGGTGTTGACGAAGTTGCGGCACAGCACTGCACGAGCGACTCATGCTGCATACATCAGGATCGCTGGAAGCAGTTTTTGATTGGTCCGGTAGTTTCATGGCCTTTTATACTTTATGTGTGATATGGCGGGTGCACACGTCCTCCACAGTAGGAAACATTTGTTGGTGGCCTAAAAAGTTGGTCCGGTGATAACCTGACCAACCGGACCGGTTCCGGCTGGCCTGTACATAGCGTCAAGAGTACATAATCCCCAAGAGTGTGCAACTCCAGCTATGGAGTCTGCGACGGTAGGACTTCACATCACGTGACGCACCCGTACACATTATTTGCACCCTGTGCATGATAGATGCAGGGTTGCACGCAACCCCCTGCTTTGGGTTCAACTCTCTTGTGGTCACTTTGCACTGTTTGCAAGAGTAACCTTTTAAACCATGTCACGTCATGTGAAGTTCTGCCGTCGCAGCACTGTACAGAGGTTGTGCAGGCAGTTGCACACTCTCGGGGGTTGTGTACTCTTGATCCGGCGGAGCCATCAATGACCCACCATCACCGCTGCGTCTCGGTGCAGCACCTGCTCATTATTTGTCACGTTTGTCCTAGTGTCCGTACGTACCATTGTCGTTCATTATTCTTTTCGAGCTGGGTATGTGAACATAGTAAAAAAATAATAATAATAAAAAATAGCGTCCAGAAGTGGTCCCGCTGACTCACTCCCAAGAAATCAATCCCATACCCTCTATGGTTCAGCCGACCGCCACGGAAAAGAAGATGTTATCACGGATTCCGGCCTGCAGAGTGCATGCCCAGTTGAGTTCGGTGTCCGGTCATTGAAGATTGGGATAACCCATCACTATACGTTTCTCCCTTAGACTGTATCTTCTTGTATTCAGATGCGTTCATTCTTCTGCCAGCTCACTTCTGTGCCGCCTTTTCTGCCTTCGTGCCAATTCTGAGGCACGTAGCCGCACCTGCACAAGGTCTCAAGTCTCGCTTGGACTTGTGCTGCCACGAGCCTCCTCTCGATTTGGTTATTCCTCTCTTTCTTATTTAGCTGCTGACCGCTGGAACTCAGTTCCGGCATTGGTCCGCCTTGCTGCTTCACCAAGTCAATTTCGTATCGCAATCCTAGATTGGCTAGGGTGCCCCGTAAGGAGACCATAGGTCTGTGGGGACTGCCCTAGAGAAATATGAATAAATACTATACTATACTATAAGACGGATCATGTTTCGCTGCTGTGTTGCGGCATGTGTATATTTACCTGCCCGCAATGCTTGTTCTGTGACACAGTGGAGCTTCAGTTTAATGTAGCGCGGTAAAGACACACCTGGCGATATGGCGGCAAACACTCGCCTATCTAAACAGGCTCTCTAAGCTGCAAAGTGGTATTCTGGCGCAAACCTCTCCTTCTCATCACCACCATCATCATTTCGCGCATTATGTCTAGTCGATCAAGTCGTAGCTGTGTCATCTTCTATGCGCCAAGCGCTACCTGATGTAGCATCCTGCCACCAGCCAAATGTCAACCAGGCGCCATGCTTGAACTGATGGTGGTGGTGAGAAGGAGAGCTCTGTGCCAGTGTGATTACATGTACTTTGCAGCTTAGAGAGCTTGTGTGGACAGCCGTGTGTTTGCCGCCATGTTGCCAGGTGTGTATTTACCACCATATTGTTGAACCATAAATACAGCTGCAGTGGAGTCTTCAAATTCATGTTGCATGTGTTTTACCAGCAAATGTGAATGTCTTTGGTAACTATGTTCATAGTGTAGACCATTTTCTGGTTGTTCTTGTTCTTGTCATCGTTGTCGTTGTTCCGTTTGTAATAGCCTTGACATTGCGAGGGTTTCTCTTTGCTGAGCTGACCCGCGGGTACCTGTCTCAGCCGTCGCAGGATGAGAGCGACTCCTTTGCTGAGCGGCGCGAGCGCGTTTACACATTCATGAAGACACCACGAGAACTAGAGAAGGTGAGGAGAGGCACGTCGTCAATTAGTACGGGTGGAATCCTGATAGTTCGATTATGGCTTAATTCGAACACAATATAGTTTTTCCAACAAAATCCACTTTTCTTTGTCAGTATCTACAACTTGGAGTGATGTTGCTGGTGTGATGAGGTCGGCCAGAGAGCGCATGTGGTAGAGGTGGGGTTGCTTTATTGATAAACAGACTGAAAGCTGCTGATTACCCTTTGAGTACAAAAACCACTCACATGGAAATTATGTGGGATTCCCGCTGATAATTCGAAGTTAGCATGGCATGATTCAAATTTAACTGTACGCTGTACCAGTCAGTTCAGATTGCTTGAACTTGTCGAAGAAAGGAAAGAAGAGAAATGGAGATCTTCGAGTGGCAAATGCGGGTTTAAATGCCGATGCATGCACAGTTTCAAGTAAAAACAAAGTGTGTATAGTGATCGTGTGTACTTACAGCGCATACAGACGGGCCTACTCTATTTCAGCAGGTACGAGTTGAGCTAGTCCAAAGGCTACGCATAGTCATTTCAACCGAGCACACCGGATGACTCGTACCATCTTGTGAGCACATGGTGTGTTTGTGCTTGCCCTGTTCCTTTCTGCAGCTGATCTTGTTTGGCTTTGCGCTCTGCCTGGATGCGTTCCTGTTCGTCTTCACGTTCCTGCCAATCCGTGCTCTGCTGGCTCTCGGAAGCATCCTCTTCTGGCCATTTTATCGACAGTGAGTATGCCCTGGTCTAAGTTGCGGAGTGGTGTCTTTGGTCTTGGGAAACTTCCCCGTACACACGCAACTCCGTCAGACTAATTTTGCTTCGCATCCTCGGGGGACGCCACCAACCTCGATGATCAAGGCACAGTCTAAAGTTGTATTCATTGGTGCCTGTATTCCTGAAGCCACGTGTTTGTGCGCATTTCTGCTGGCGTTTGGTGCAGTATGGGTATGAAAACGCGCTGGTATTGAAATTTTAACATGTGTTAATCAGCACGGATCAGGCGGCTGCTGTCGAACATGCCAGTCACGTTGACTCGGTGTCGTCACACGACTTAACAAACGACTCAAAATGCTGTCTTCTGCGGAAGCCTGAACGCCTGGCTGGGCACGCATGAACTGCAAACATACAGCGTACACACGCCAGTTATGAATATAGCTTTGAATCCGTGTTAATACTAGTAGTATGTGTGTCACAGTGAGTAACTTGCTTTGCATTTGTGTGCTGGCATGCGGATCCTTGCCCGAGCCCGTCACAAGCAGTCCTGGTTTGGATTTCATATTTCAAAGCTACTGTTATCTGAGAACTTCTAGAATTACTTCAAGTATAGGTATGGCCAGTAACGTAGGTTTCTTAGCATCAAATGTTACCATGTGTACATGTACTCTGCATCTTGCTGTGCTCTGCGTCTTGGTTTACCCTCCGCTGCAGCAAGAGATTACTGCAACCGGGCCAAATACATGATCTCCTACGTGGTGAGTCCGTACTTTTGCAGCTTGGCACAACACACCTGCTTTTGATGACAATGCCTCTCCACGACTGCATGTTGTGTTGTACTGCTGAGAGTGTTCTAATCTGTTCAGAAGTTTGTGTGTGTGTGCATTAGTGTAGCTACATTGCTTTGGCTAGCCTCTGGATGGAATGATGTATGATTGTGTGTGTTGTGTATGTGTTGTGTGTGTGTGTGTATGTGTGTGTGTGTGTGTGTGTGTGTGTGTGTGTGTGTGTGTGTGTGTGTGTGTGTGTGTGTGTGTGTGTGTGTGTGTGTGTGTGTGTGTGTGTGTGTGTGTGTGTGTGTGTGTGTGTGTGTGTGTGTGTGTAGTTGCACTGCTGATGTGTTGCTGCTATATTTTCCTGATGGTCGATGGCTCCATGCTATATCACATGGTGCGTGGCCAGTCGGTGATCAAGATCTACGTCATGTTCAACATTCTTGATGTAAGTTTACTCTCTCAACCATTCTCTCTCTCTCTTTCTCTCTCTCTCTCTCTCTCTCTCTCTCTCTCTCTCTCTCTCTCTCTCTCTCTCTCTCTCTCTCTCTCTCTCTCTCCTCTCTCTCTCTCTCTCTCTCTCTCTCTCTCTCTCTCTCTCTCTCTCTCTCTCTCTCTCTCTCTCTCTCTCTCTCTCTCTCTCTCTCTCTCTCTCTCTCTCTCTCTCTCTCTCTCTCTCTCTCTCTCTCTCTCTCTCTCTCTCTCTCTCTCTCTCTCTCTCTCTCTCTCTCGCTCTCTCTATCTATCTACCTACATGTACATGTATATCATCTAGAGTAGATAAACAAGAGTGTGCAACTCCCGGATCCGCGCGGATGGGTTGGCCCTTGGCGGAATTTTTTTGTTGACGTAATCTTTTCGACCACCCACGCGCTGCGAGTCTTTTGGAAAGTTTTGCCTCGTGCACTTGGCCGGGCTTTACATTACGATGTCGGTGCCCAGCACTTGCTCTCACACTGCTCTGCGGCAAGAAGCGCCTTTTTTCTGTAAAAGGTGACGTCAACAAAAAATTCCGCCGTGGGCGGGGGTATCTGCAGATTGTGCAGGAGAGATCCGGAGTTGCACACTCTTGTTTATCTACTCTTGATATCATTTACTTCCGAATTGTGTACTGTTGACGAGGCAAGTCACCCTGTGTATGTGTGTGCACTTGTTTTGTTTCAGATTGGTGATAAGCTTCTGGCATCGTTTGGTCAGGACACCCTGGATGCACTCTACTGGACTGCTACGGAGAAGCATGCACGGCGCCGTGAGCACGCCTGGACAGTGTGCGCACACTACTTGCTGGCCATGGTCTACATCTATATCCTTTCTGTACATGGGGACACTGTGTGTGTGTGTGTATGTTCTAAGTTTCGGGCAATTCTTAGTTACGGATAGTGCCCGGTCCCAAGCTGCACCTGCCTGGATACGCAGAGTTCTGCTGTACTACATGTAGGGTCATTGATGCACGGCGCCCCTGAAATGTGATGGCCATGATCCTTGACTGCCTACTTGCTGTGTGCACTGCTTCACTCGACGCTTGTCTTCTTTCAAGCCATCACCCTGAATGTGGCCATCAACAGCCACAACCAGTCACTCTTCACCGTCGTCGTCAGCAATCAGTTTGTCGAGCTGAAGGGCAGCGCGTTCAAGAAATTCGAAAAGAACAACCTCTTCCAGATGTCGTGCAGTGGTAAGGCTGGCCTAGGCTAGTCCAAGTGCGACGTGTGTGTGTCCGTGTATGCGTGCATGCATGTCGTGTGTGTATGTGTGTTCGTGTGGGTGTGCGTGTGCGTACGTGTGCATGTGTGTGTCTGTGTCTGTGCGTGTGCATATGTGTCTGTCTGCGTGTGCATGTGTGTGTGTGTGTGTCCGTCGCTATGTTTCTTTTCCTATGATCCTGGCTACTTGCATGATGGAATCTCACTCTCTATCATATCAATGTCGCATCAATCTTCACTGACTGTTGCTGACGGTAGATGTTCTGAAGTTGGCGAAGTCGAGGCGGAAGTTGGATATTGCTGTTTGTATTGACTTACTAGTAGTCAATCTGCGGACAGAACTGTTTCGTCCTTTGTGAACTCATCAGCGCAGCACAGAGAAAATGCGGCCGAACCTGATAGCAACGGAAAATAAAATTTCCAAAGCCAGATTTAAACCAGGCCCGAACGTACCTTGCCAGAGTGCTCAAACTGACAAGTCAGCGACCTCTGCATAATGCAACCATTTACTTGTATTTACTTTTAAAGTTGTGGAAGAGAGGTGGATATACTGTTGTAGTATTGTATTTACCTGGCAGTACCGTGAGCATGGAACGTGAATTGACTGAAACGTGCATCAAGCCTATGGTTGAGGCATGGCTTCGGATCTCTTCTTGCTTTAACGCCTACGCCTGCATGTCAATCTGCTCTCTGTGCCGCTGCAGACATCCGCGAGCGCTTCCATCAGTTCATACTGTTGCTTGTGGTGATACTGCGCAACATGACCGACGTCTTCTGGAACCTAGGTAAGAGTACAGTTATACGTGTGTGTGTGTGTGTGTGTGTGTGTATGCCGGAGTATGTGGTGTGGTGTATGTGTAGAAAAAGAAGAAAAAAATAAAAAATGGAAAAATGAAAAATAGGGATTCACTGGCCAGAAAACGTCACTTCAAACAGCTGTGTGGTGGATACCAGGCTAAAAATAGTGGCGGTCAATTCATCAGCCTTGCAAGCTGTTGAATGGTGTAATCCCAGCACAAGTTGCTATGTCTAACATAGCTGTTCGCTATCATCGCTCCCGCAATGGGCATGTCTGAGGTCTGAGGTGTGTGTGTGTGTGTGTGTGTGTGTGTATGTGTGTGTGGCATGTGTGTGTGTGTGTGTGTATGTTTATGTGTTTGTTTGTTTGTTTGAATGAAAGCACTTGTAGTTGCGCAGCTGACTTTCTTGTGACTGTGCCTTTGGGATGTAGCTACGGTACTGCTCAACGAAATCCAGTCGTGTCACTCAAGTATGCGCCTTGTACCTTATCACAGCCTAGTGGTGTTCGCAGGTCTAGCGCTGCGCAACGCGCGGCGCGTACTTGAGTGACGTGACTGGATTTCATTGAGCAACACTGTAGTTGTTTCCAGTGAAACCTCAGAAAGAATACCGTAACAGTCCGTAAATAAGTACCTGCCCTAAAGAAATACCCCCTTCATTCTTTTGGCTCTGTCTGTTGAGGTCAAATCAAGCCCAATTAACATACTGCCCGAAATAAGTACCGGTACGGTGCGCACATGCAGCATGTAGCATGTACATCTACATAACAATAACTTCTCCACTACACACAAGTCAGGTCCGAAAGTTAGTTCGTGCCCGAAAGTCAGTACCCGCCCGAAAGTTAGTACGGGTGTGGTCACTAAATTCGAAAGTAAATATGTACTTATTTACGGACTTTTACGGTACCCATGGATATACCACACTATCAAGAGTCCATAAACAACGAGAGTATGCCGCTGTCGTCTCTTTTCTATGGACCAGATGCACGGCGCTGCTGAGTTCATTGCATCTTATCTTGCAGCAACATCCTCACACTACATAATAAATCAAACACCACACGTTCCCTGTGGTTTGAAACCAACTTTTGTACTTGTACGGAACTGAAGTTCATGCACCCAAGATTTAGAGCTCGCATCTGTACTTGAATTAATCATCAAGTCCAGGTGTGCTAATACGAGAAATTATATACTGTAGTGTCGTGTATAAAAGCATGACCTGTATACTTGAAGTAGAAACATGACTTGAATGGTAGCCGATTTTTCGAAGCGTGCTGTAACACAGAAGCATGATTTGAATAGAAGCCGCTCTCTGCAAAGTACATGTGCAAGTACATGCGTGGCAGTATGCACTGCACTGTGTAGACTGATGATGTTGACGTAGAAGCATGTTTTTGAATAGAAGCCTAACGAATAGAAGCATGGTTCGAACCCCAGCTTATACGGCCGTAGGCACCTGCTTTTATACGTGACATTACGGTATTTGGTGCAGTTCCGTAATGAAGGCAGCATGCCGCGCACTGACCCATAACCACAGTTTGCAAACTCTTGTTTACGGTCTTCTGATACTATAAGTATAAAGTACAGTCAAACCTGTGACTAACGACCACCCCTTGGGGCCAGAGAAAGCTGTCTTTAGCGGCACACACTATAATATGAGTGTGAGACCGTCCGTGCCTGGAATCTGTTGTCTGTAGTAGCAGGCTGGTCACTAGTGACGGTGGTCTTTTAGCTACAGGTTTTACTGTACACATGTACTACTGTATTTTTGGGTGGACCGTGTGTGTGTGTTTTAAATACGAAAGTCCACTATATTCTCCAATAGGCGCGAGAAGTGGTGGCGGGGCCAGGCTGCTCTGCCGACCTTACAGGTCTCGGCGTCTACGCAGAGAAAGCTCGCCATAATGCAGTAAAAACAATGAGGAGGGGAGAAGGAAGGGGGAATGAATAATTGCGTGGAACGTGGACAATGGGTAGATGGTCGTGAGAGAAGCAGAATGAGAGATAACATGTAGTGAGGAGGGAGGGGAGACGCTAGTGAGGCGCTGGTCTATACCGTTTCATAGGGCGTCGGTGGCTGTTTGCCAGTTCAGGTCCAGCAAATACTTGTTGCACTTTTCCTTGAAGGACTGGAGCTGTCTGGGTTGTAGCCCTGCTGATAGGATGGTTGTGGGTAGACTGTTCCACAAGGGAATAATGCAGTCTGGGTAAGAACCCCGGAGGCTGCTACGAGTGTGCACGGGCAATGTTGGCTTGAGCTGGAGCGGATGGCAGTGGGCAGTCTCCGTTGCTAGCCTAGTAGATCGACCACCCACTGGGCGGGGGTTGGCTGGGGGTGGCGGGATGGGCTTCAGGGGGCCTGTTGGGAGGTAGGACAGCTTGAAGGTGAACGACAGCGCAGCAACCAGTCGGCTGTAGGCTCCTGGGCCAATAATCTTCAATGCCTTGTGCTGTATTCTGTCCCGCCTGGACGTGCATGAACCCATCCACACTAGGCAGCAGTATTCCATCGTTGGCCGCACGCAACTATTGTAGCCTCACGGCATCGGCTCTCACTCACATGAGCCATGAGGGTCTGCACAAGGCTGACCACATGCTGCTCGATGCCGGGGAGGCTGCACAGGAGTTTGAGTTTGAGTGATTCACCTATCACCTCGCCCATGATCGGCAGCAATAAAAGAAAAAGAAAGGGAAAACCCCACTAACACGACACTGACCTACCCCTACTGCACTTCTGCCAAGAAATCCGAAAACGGCGAATAACTACGGAGCTCCAAAAATCTCAACTTGCCTGCATGCACATATGATGTGTGCTGTACCCATACCTTGCCTCACAAAGTACCGATTTGTGAATAGTGTGCAAGCCACAGCTTCCTGCATTGGATAACTTGCGATCCACATCAGCTTTCAGGCGGTCATTCAATAGGCCGAACGCCTTCCAGTTCACGCCGGGACCATCCATTGACACTTGAAGTGAACCACTCAAGCCCAGGGAATGACAGCTGTCAAGCAGCTCATCCACCAAGCTCTCTGCCCGCGCGTGACCGGGAAACTTGGAAGTAAAGTAACGAGTCGAGACACGATCCACGTCCTAAATAGAAACAAGGACATCCAGCTGTTTAGACTGTGTCACGTAATTCAGGCTTTCGTCAACCAGGACAACATAATCATTGCTCTGCACGTTCGACAGCAGCAGCGACTCGAAATACGGAGCGAGCCCGAATGTTGACAAATAATTGCATTTCCGCTCGCCACACGGAAACTTAGCCGGTATGCTGCTGTCAAGAAACATCTTCTGAAGAAGAGCTGCTGACTTTTCGCTGGACCGGAACGACTGGTGTTTCGTGACGACGTTAGGGCCCAGTATATCTCCGCAGAGAGCGTTTGCGTGGTTGTCGCACCGTCGCAGTTGCGGAGGTTGCTGGCGTAGCAGCAGCAAAAGACGTAGCCGTCGAGGACGCAGGGGTACGAGATGATGGCAAGAAGTTTGCAATTGACAGTCCAGATTGAAGCTTCGCTCGCTCGGCGTGCTTTTTGCGGGCCATGTGGCTGACCAGCGCAGCTTCTCCCATGGAGCCCAGCTCAATTTCCTTGCTGCAGAGTTTGCAACGCGCCTTGTGCCGATTAGACGGCATGGGGGCAATCCAAGAGCGATACTTCTCTTGGCTTAGCCATTTATCCGAGAAGGCACAACCAGGCATGACGGCTACACGAAATAAATTATAAAAACGCACAACTACTACTTTCAATCCAAGAGTGATACTTCTCTTGGCTTAGCCATTTATCCGAGAAGGCACAACCAGGCATGACGGCTACACGAAATAAATTATAAAAACGCACAACTACTACTTTCACTACAAGGTCCGAGAGAAGACACAAGTGACAACTCGACTCACTGCACAGCAGAAGAAACGCAGCTTCTCCCATGGAGCCCAGCTCAATTTCCTTGCTGCAGAGTTTGCAACGCGCCTTGTGCCGATTAGACGGCATGGGGGCAATCCAAGAGCGATACTTCTCTTGGCTTAGCCATTTATCCGAGAAGGCACAACCAGGCATGACGGCTACACGAAATAAATTATAAAAACGCACAACTACTACTTTCACTACAAGGTCCGAGAGAAGACACAAGTGACAACTCGACTCACTGCACAGCAGAAGAAACTGTTGTTGAAGTGTTGCATCTAGATGTACATGTGCCATGTTCCACCTTCTTGTGTTTCTTGTTTTCGGCTAGGGCATTTGCGTGAGCTAGTGCTGCCGCTGGCAATAGTGTGCTGTTCAGAAGTGATGGTCGACTGGATCAAGCACGCTTTCATCACCAAGTTCAATAGCATCTCATCCACAGTCTACAAAGAGTACAGGCTGATTCTGGCCAGGGATGTGGCTGACTCTCGACACCACCTGGTGAGGAGCTGTTTATTGCTTTCTGCTTGTACATGTATATATAGGTCATGTATAAGGGTGTGGGTGAGTGCATGCATGCTTGACTCGGACGGAATGTGCGGTGCACTGCTTTTAGACATTCTTCCTCCTGTTTTACACCATGTGGGCGTGTGTGTGCGTGTGTGTGTGTGCGTGTGTGTGTGTGTGTGTGTGCATGTGTGTGTGCATGTTCGTGTGTGCATGTTCGTGTACGGTTGACTCCTAACGAACACCGTTGTGCAGCAGAATTAGTTCTTTATAGGCGAAGTTCTTTATAACAGAAATGCACTTAGACCATGCAAGCAACACGTCATGACGGGCATGTGATCCGTGACTTATCAGTGCACTTGGTTAAAGCCTGATTCATACTTCATGTCCCGTACGGGAAACGCGTCGCGTTGCGAAAAAGTTGATCTGAGCTCGACTTTTTCGCGTAACCCTTTGCGCGACGGTCGCGTGATGGGTTTCCCGTACGCGAGATGAAGTATGAATCAGGCTTTACATGCGGCCTTACAGAATATGGTTCGTTGTAAAAGAAAACTGCTCACTACAAAGGGTCATTTTTGTATGGGATCAAAGTTCAAACAGGGATATGGACAATTGTTCGCTAAATTAAATAGTAAATAGCAAATTTTACTTATTATGCGAGCTCGTTATAAGTAAAGTCAACTGCATGTGTGTGTTTCTCCTGTTGTTGTTCCTTTTTTCAGCCCGCCGCTGACCATTGTGACTTGGTATCAAGACGCATGGGCTTCATCCCCCTTCCGTTAGCAGTGTTGGTAGGTGCTGGGCCGGCTAGGCTGATTTCTAGCTTTTCTTCTGTGACGTTACACGGATAATCAAGTACGAGACAACGCTTTGAAGATAGTTGTGAATACAGTAGAACCTGTAACTACCGACCACCCCTTGGGGCCAGAGAAAGCGGTCTTTAGTGGCAGGTGGTCCCTAGTTAGAGGTTTACACCGCACAACCATAATATATGAATGTGAGACCATCCATGCCTGCCGAAGTGGTCTGTAATACCAGGCTGGTCGCTAGTCACTGTGGTCTTTAGTTACAGGTTTTAATGTAGAATGGCTAGCGCAGTCATTGCATGTGTGCACAATGATGGGCGGCCATTTGCTTCTGAGAAGTCCCTCCAATAGGCGTTGATTTTCATATACCCTGGTGCTGATCATACCTCTGAAAGATGGCTTCGGTGAAACCTGTCTAAGCCGACCGCTCAAGGGACCTTCGAATTGTGGTTGCCGTGTACAGGTGGGCTCCATATCCAAGGTCATTTGACCTTGGTCCTGGTTGTAGTGGTACTCTGGGGCAGGTGTTCGCCTTATCAGAGTTGTGGCCTTGACAGGTTTTACTGTACATCCTACTGAGTGGCTTGTGTGTGCATGTGCGTGTGTGTGTGTTTCGCTCTGCTCGTTGTGCCTGGTGTGTAGTTGATCCGTGTGATCTGCAACTCCATCACATCGCCCAGCCACCTGTCTCCTGTCTTTTTGGTCATCGCCTTTCTATGGTGAGTTGGTCTTTGCTGGCAATTAGGGGCCGTCCGTAAATATCGAACTTTTTTCACCAAACGAATTATTTTAGTTTAGACCCAACCCCTCCCTCCCACCCCCTCAGAACGTAAAAAATGTTGACATACATGCATATACAACGGCCATGTACATGAATCAATGTTTTCTGAAACGAAATTGGTCAACCCCCTCCCACCCCATAACGAAATTATTTCGTTTTGTGAAAAAAAAAGTTCGATATTTAATGGACGACTCCTTATATATGTACCATATTTTCCAGAGTATAGGCCGCACTTTAAACACCAAGAAGTCACCCGAACGAGAGAGCTTGGAAGCTCAGGGCCCTACGCTATGCTTTTTTGCCTTGATGACCTAGACAAAAAAAAGCATAGGGATGTTATAAATTCTTTAAAAAAATCCTTTTTTTTAAGACCTAACCTGGGATTCGAACCCGCACTATGGCGCGCCCTGCATGCATCCCCCGATACACTTCGCATACCGTATATTCTCTATTATAAGCGCCGTGCTTATATATTTTCAACACCCCTCTACCCCGCGCTTATATTGGAGACCGCGCTTATATTGGAGACTGCGCTTATATTTTTTCAACCAATACATCCATACAAAGCAAGAAGAAATACATGCTAGATATTATGCATGCAGCACTGATTTCCACCAAGACCGTGCTAATAATAGAGACTGTGCTTATAATGTCTCGAAAGGTGCTCACAGTGTGCTAGTATTAGAGACTGTGCTAGTAATGGAGACGTGTGCTTATAATAGAGGATATACGGTACATACTAATTCTTCTAAGTTGTTTCACATTGTGATCTTGCATTTGAAAGCCCTATTTGAATATGCATTGTTGCCAGCCGTCTTTGATGGCACGGTACGGTAGGGGATAGGTACGGGACAGGTACGATCGAGGGTAATACGACACCGTCTCCCGTACCGTACCGTACCATCAAACACAGCTGGCCACATACAGCTGCCCGCAATATTCAAATAGGGCTTTCAAACGCAAGATAATAACGTGAAGCAACTTGGAAGAATGGGTATGAATGCGAGGTGTATGGGAGAATGCATGTAGGGCGATACTGCGGGTTCGAATCCCAGGATATGCCTGAAAAAAATAGGAGAATTGAAAACTTTATAACATCCTATGCTTTTTTGCCATCAGATACGGATAGCGCCAGGCGTGACACAAATAAACAAACGCACAAACAAACACCAAATTAAAGCTGTGTGGACCCTGGCTAGCGCCAGACGTTACTGAAGTAACGTCTTCTGCATAGCTACGGGAATAAAGTCGGTGGTGCGGCTTACATGTATACTACTATGGTCAAAGTATTGGTGATAAATAGGGTAGATGTGTGTATTTTGTGCCAAAAATCTGGGTGCAGCTTATACTACGGAAAAATACGATAGCTGATTTTAATCGTTCAGTTCCTGATCTCGTTCTAAAGACCAAACATGAAGTACAACGTCAGCAAGTTCCAGAAAGTATGATATGGCTGCATTCGTATCTGCTCTGGCATGCTACAGTGTGAGCGAGCATTCTCTTCTCTTTTGTGTGTGTGTGTGTCATGAAGCGATGGGAGCGGTGCAGCTGCCATCACCGCATTCTTGTGCTCAAGCATTGTATGCCTCTGGTAATTGCTGCTACGGTGTGGTGGGTAGATCAGTCATTATGCTCTTGGTAGCAAAGGGTACAGTAGATCGTATTTCCCCGAATATAAGTCGCACCTTTTACACTTAACTTCAGGGCCAGGTGCGACTTATAATCGAGCATGATCACTACTGAAGTGAATATATCAAAACGATAATGACATGGACCTGGAAATGGGGGAGGGGGGTTGCGACTTACAATCAAGTGCGACCTATAATCGGAGAAATACGGTAAGTAGTTAGGCTGTGTTTACATGAGAAATTTCAACCCGGGTCGAGTTCAGCCCGGTTTGAAAGTCTGTACGATAGACAAAATAGGTGAGTGTTTACATGAAGACAGTTGACCCGGGTCAAATACTGATATGCCGCCAAAAGTCCACTTCTAGAGTCCTGTATGGTCACGTGAATCCGTTCGCGCGAAATGTGCATGTGCAGTGCTGTTCAAACCTGGCGCGAGATACGCACAGAAGTACGTTTGTACGATTTTCTTGACCCGGGTTGATTTCAACCCTCCCCTTGGGGGGAGGGTTGACAAGGGGAGGGTTGAAACTTGAAATCAACCCGGGGCGAAATTTCAACCCGGGTCAAGCGCAATGCGTCATGTAAACGCGCCATATTCATTTTGTGCACATGGCGGGTTGAAATCTGACCCGGGTCGAACTGAACCCGGGTTGAAACGCCTCATGTAAACACAGCCTTAGTTCTGCACTAATGATTGTCACAAGAAAACGTTCTGGAATCCAAATTTACTACTTTGCTCTGTGTGTTGGAAAGACTAGTACTTTTCTTAGCCCAATAATTATATAGTTTAGTAGCTGTTAATACATGTACTACAATATCCGTCTTTGCTTTATGATCCGCTTCTTGTTGTTGTCCCCTGTGTGCAGTTTCCTGTCCTTCAAGATCCTACTGGGTATAGTACTGCTGGGTTTGTCCTGCTCACAGCTCAACTACCAAGACCAGCCCGGCGGCTTTGTGTCACCGCTGGGCCGACCGGCACCCAGTGCCCTGCCGTCCACGCCGTTCGTGGCGCACCAGGCCGGCCGCGTCAGCAACACGTCCTTCCAGCAGCTGGGCAACGTCGATCGCTTTGCGATGTGCGGCAGCCGCATCGTGTAGTTGTGTGCACGTGTGTGTGCGCGCGTGTGTATGCGCGTGTGTGTGTGCACGTGTATGTGCGCGTGCTGTGTCTAGTAGTAGGAGTAGTAGTAGTAGCTGCCGTAGTGTTCGTATCGTGTATTCTCTCACATGGCATTTTTAAAGCATTAGGTCAGCGCACGGTACAGGTTACGAGATAAGTCAACCGGCCGTGCAGGCTGCTAAGAGTCGAACGTGGAAAACAGTTGCTGCTTCTACGTAGTCCGCTGTATTTCAGCGTCCCATGACTAGTCCTATCATGAAACCCCATGGGTAATTACTAGTGTTAGCAGAGCTGGAAACAATTTAATGCAGCATGCATTGCATACTCGCATCATATCAACACGAGTGCCATTTTCTGATTCCCCACCTTTTTTTTTAAACCAATAGAAGCCCTTTTTACCACTTTTCCCATCGGGATTGAGCTGCTTGACTCGAAGAAGATATCCATATATTCAAAGCACAGACAGTTGAGTATGCATGTACATAATTTGAGCGCTTGTAGTTTGAATTGATTTTACTCTTCCTGGCTGTTTTTTTATCAGGCTCTTGAAGTATTTCCGAACCACAATTTTAACTCCTGTCTATTTGTTTTTGTATTTATGGATTCCGCGCAGTTTCTGTGCGCTGTTCACAAGTTTGCCGTGAATATGAATGACCGAGCATATTCGATGTCGCTACGCTGTGCTTGTGAGAGCGAGGGAGACTGACAAACAGAAACTCACTGCCTAGGCTGAGAGATTGTGGGCTGTGCAGTACGCACGGGGCATTTGCGGGGCCGATTTTGCTGCTATCAAATCGCTGGATTTCGCTATGTTTAATAGGACGCAAACATTGGGTTAGAAATTCTAACTCGAATATTGGGTTAGAAACTCGAATTTTGAGCCAATAGTGATACTGTATGTAAAGAGAAAAGGACCTACCGTATTATCTCTAATATAAGCACAGTCTCCAATAATAGCACGTCTTCAATAATAGAACACCTTGGGCGGCATTCAAAAAATAAAGTGCTCAGTCTCCATTATAAGCACACTGTGTAAATTCATTACATGTATCTGTACCGGCGAAAAAACCCTGAAATGTGTGTGTCTGACATGAATTTGGCCATGGCAACATGCCTCTGAAATGAGGTTGAAATAATAATGGAACAGTCTCCAATAAAGGAACGTCTCCATTAATAGCACGGGGCGGAGGTACATTGAAAAAATAAAGGACCGTGCTTATATTTGTGAGATATTGCATACGATCGCCAGACAGCCTCGTTCTCTCGCTCTCTCTCTCTCTTTTGATCTTCCTTTCTCCATTCTTGATTATCTCATTCTTGATTATCACCAACTCCTCTCTCGCATTTACCTGAGCTTACAGTCTTCTCCTTGTATCTTCGTGTTTTCCCGCACTATCGCCTTTCGCCGTTGGAAAGCGTACGGTAGCTTGATTTGCTGGCGGTTTTGCTTCACTGTCTTTTGTTCTTTGAGTTTTCTCCTTCGAGACAAGAGAGACATATTTTTCCTTACAATGAATCTTCGAGACTGATTCCAATTTACAATTTCTGGAATCAGTCTCGAAGATTCATTGTAAGGAAAAATATGTCTCTCTTGTCTCGAAGGAGAAAACTCAAAGAACAAAAGACAGTGAAGCAAAACCGCCAGCAAATCAAGCTACCGTACGCTTTCCAACGGCGAAAGGCGATAGTGCGGGAAAACACGAAGATACAAGGAGAAGACTGTAAGCTCAGGTAAATGCGAGAGAGGAGTTGGTGATAATCAAGAATGAGATAATCAAGAATGGAGAAAGGAAGATCAAAAGAGAGAGAGAGAGCGAGAGAACGAGGCTGTCTGGCGATCGTATGCAATATCTCACACTCCCCCCAGTTGAGGCGATCAGAACCATGCATGCCTCAACTCATACGTGATATTGCAATCAGTGTAAGGTCACCCAGACAAACGAAGGAAAGAAAGAAACAAGGAAACTCAAATTAGACTGCTGCGGTGCACAAATAACTTAAAAGAGACTTGTGCATGATCCAGTAACAAGTTTAATCTAGCTCATGATGGTGTCCAGCTCCACCTACACACGGCCAGCATCAATGAGGCGGTGTCGCAACTCTTGCGCACGCCGAGCTGCTGCACGGATCGGGCGAGCGGGGGCCGCCGAGGACGACTCCACACCAGCAACAGCTGGAGTAGCGGCAGGCAACTGCTCTGCGCCGACATCATCAGCAGCAGTCTGGGCCCGGGAGCTAACCTCGACCGGGTAGAGACGCTGAATCGGGCGACGTAAGCGTGACGGACGACCATCATTGGCTGAGCACTTGACAGTAGCGCCGCGCACACTGCCATCACTGCTCGGCAGGAGCTCCTCAACTAGGCCGAGTCTCCACATACCTCGCTGCACGCCTTGCTCGTGGATGACAACAACGTCACCAACCCGGATGTCACTGCCACGACGAGCGTTCCCGGTGCGATGCGAGTTCCTCAGCTCCAGCAGGTACTCCGATGTCCAGCGCGACCAGAAGTGGTCAATCAGAAACTTGACATAGACGAGGCGTTTCAATAGTGAGTCACGCTGTACTGTAGCAACCTCTGTATCTTCCGGGTCCACCATGGGCGTGGACAGTATGCGCCGACCGTACATCAGATGTGACGGCGTAAGCGGCTCATCCAGATCTTCGGTTGACACAAACGATAATGGGCGACTGTTCAAGACCGCTTCTATCTCGATGAGCACGGTCAGAAGCTCTTCGTAAGTGACTGTGGCTTGCTGCAGTATCTTCTTGAGGCAGCGCTTGACGGACTTGACCAGCCGCTCGAAAAAGCCACCCCACCAGGGGGCTTTCTCGAGGTTGAATGACCATTTCACAGACCTGCTGTCGAGCTGAGAGGACACCTCATCGAGTTCGAACAGCGCGCACAAGGTATTGGCCGTGGACTTGAACGTCTTGGCGTTGTCCGACTTCATCTCCTTCGGGATGCCGAATCTGGCTGTGAATCGATGGAAACAGCGCAGAAACGTCTCAGCGGAGAGATCTGGCACGAGATCCAGATGAATCGCTCGGGTAACGCCGCAGGTGAACAGCGCGATGTACACCTTCTTCACAGCACTCTGCTCTTTGATGTACAGCGGACCCGCGAAGTCGACGCCAGTGTAGGTGAATGGCGCGTCGATTGTCGTCCGGAATTCTGGCAGTGGCGGAGCTGCTGGAGGCACGTACGCCACGCTCTCGAGACGCTTGCAGACACGGCACGCTAGCAACAGGCTCCGAATGTACTGGCGACCACGGACGACCCAGTAGGCAGACCTCAGCTCCGTGAGTGTCTCTTTCACGCCATTGTGAGCGACTCGGCGGTGGCAGCGAATGACGATCAGGTCAGTGTACCGGTGTGTGGTGTGCAGGATAGCGGGATGCTTCTGCTCGAACGTGAGTGCCGCTTTCTGCAGCCGACCTTTGCAGCGCAAGATGCCAGAGTCGTCGCAAAAGATTCCGAACTCTTTCTGCCAACTTGAGAACTTGGGGTCCCTGACGACCGACCGCTGCACATCCTTCAGCCAGAGCGACTGCGCATACGCCATTGCCGAGTGAACTTCGGGGTCAGGCTTCTGTTGCAAGCGACTGACAAACTTCAGCGCTAGAACCGTGACTCGTAGTAGCTTGTCGACGTCGCTGAAGCGGCTGATGTCGACAATCTGCCCGATGTCGACCTCTGGTGCCTTTGACCCGGTGAGCAGGGCAGCTGTCGGCTGGCCCTTCTTCAGTTCGGACATCGCTTCTACTGCTCGTGTAGGAGGAGGACTAGCTCCGTCGGGGTTGCACTTCGCAGTGGCGAGCCACGACGGTCCAGAGTACCAGATGGTCTGCTCCAGCTGGTTCGGCTTCACTCCCCGTGACGGCAGATCTGCAGGGTTGGAGTCAGTTGGGCAATACTGCCAAGCTGATGACGGGACAAGACGTCGGATGGATTGCGCCCGGTTCTCCACGAACTGCTTCCACTCGTGCTGCTCTCCGATAATCCAACTTAGCGCGACTTGCGAATCCGTCCAACAGCGGACCTCCTCGATGTTAACTGCGCCAGTCAATGCCGATAGCACCGACGACACGAGTCGGGCCAGGACTAGCGCCGCCATGAGCTCCAAGCGCGGGATGGACTGTTTAGCGACGGGTGTAACTCGGCTGCGTGCTGCAACTAGTTGGACTTGCGTGTCTCCTTTCCCGTGGCTGACCAGGTACACTACTGCTGCGAACGCCTTGACGGATGCATCGCAGAATCCATGAAGCGAAACTGTTGCCTGGGAACTGGCGCCATGGAAATACCACCGGGGAAGGCTGACTGGCTCCATCGTGGCGAGACCAGTGACGAGCGTACGCCAAGTTGCCAGCTGCTCTCCCACTAGCGGCTGGTCCCATTCCAGTTTGGCTTTGCACAGTTCCTGGATAAACATCTTGAGTGCCACCGTCACTGGCGTGATGAAGCCGAGTGGGTCGAATATCCGGGATGATGCTGACAGCGCTTGGCGCTTGGTGATGGTGTCAACAGCCACTTCGGCGAATACAGCACGGACATCTAAGACCAGCGTGTCTGCCTTGCGATTCCATGGGAGGCCCAGGACCTTCTCGTGCTGCTGGCGAAGGCTGGCGTCGGTGTTCAGCGTGCTCTTGGCGTACGACTGCACATCTTGGGTTACTGTGGTACGGTCTGTTGCGCTGGAGCCCGCA